GAAGTTCAGATTCCTTCAGGTGGGTGTTGTTTGGATCTGGCTGCTGTGCTCCATGTCTTTCTGCTGCAGGCGTTAGAGTTGAACCCTTTGTGTCACTGTGGCAAGATGTTCTGCTCCTGAATCAGCTGGGTAAGTCTTGCTTCTAGCCTCTTTGCAGGGAGTTCTGCTGAAGGGCTCCGTGCTGGGTCTGTACTCTGGGTCGAATGAGGATCCGCGGGCCCTGGGTCTCACTCACTCTCAGGGCCTGCGCTCAGGGTCTCTTCAGGATCCCAGCAGGCCCGGGTCATCTCACTCACTCCCCTTGGCCTGCGCTCTGAGACTGTTCAGGATCCCGTGGCCCCAGTCATCTCACTCACTCGCCAGGCCTGCGCTCTGGGTCTATTCAGGATCCTGCGGCGCCAGTCGTCCCAAAACCGAATTTAATCCCTATGTTAAGTATATACATTTTTCTCCAGTTCTAAACCTACCCTAATACATTAATTTCTACACAGCCACAAATATGAATGGCAGTGTTTGGCATTATTCACCAAGTTAAAAGATTGAGATTCAGTTGCAATTTGTCTTAGGAACAAGCTAAGTGGCAGTGTTGGGTTTCTAGGAGTGACTGTTCTAGGGTCACAGGCACCTCTGCTTACTGTCCTGCATGCTGACTCTGAGCTAGTCTTCAGTACAGGACATTAGGGAGGAAAGAGCAGGACTGTAGTTCAAAAAGATGAGACTAAATCAGCAGTTTTTGCAGCCGTGAAACACATAACTACTAAACGTAGACTATGGCCCATTAGCCATAAAGTCTGTAAGAAACACTTGGTAGGGGCTGGGGGGATAGCTCAGGAGTCTAAGGGCCTCCCTGGTAAGTGCAAGGATCACGCTGTGTGGTCCCTGGAAACATGGGCACACCAAGCTAGGCATAGAAACCAGGATTAGTGGTGCACACCTATAATTCTAGCACTGGGGAGGCTGAGACAGGAGGATCACTATGAATCCAAGCTGCATAGCAAGATCCTGTACCAAATAAATAAATTTTTTAAAGATTAAAAAGAAACAATTGGGGGCTGGAGAGATGGCTCAGTGGTCTAAAGCACCTACTTGGAACAAGCTTGGCAAAGCACAGGGACCGCGGTTCGATCCCCCAGCACCACATGCCA